CTACAAGATAGCGTCAGATTGCCCATCAGTACACCAGTCATCACATTTAACCCCTTGATTTCCAGGAACACGGTCATGCACAATAAACCTCCATTGCTAGTATAGTGTCTGAACGGATCAATATCTTTGACCAGATCCTCACTATACCAGCATTCACATTAGTATAGTGTCCCCAAAAACGTAGCGTTAGCGGGATCAGCCCCGGCACCTGCCAGCACCTGCATTTAGCCCCTACGCTTACCCCCCCCTTCTCACCCAGAAAGTGCAGTGTCAGTAGGTCACTGTCACTTGATACATTGCACACAAAACCGCAGTGTTGGCAGAATCAGGCCTGATCTCTGTTAGCACTTGTCGGTAAATTTTGATGACTCTCATACGCAGCAGAGTGCCAGTACTAGTGCCACGCTACTTTTTGGTGAACTGGCGAGTACTAGTGACCTAGCACATCCTGGTCTTTCACATACCTCTTAGATTGTAAGCTCCCAGGATCAGGCCCTCCTAACCCTCTTGTATTGAACTGTATTGTTCTATATTGTCTCCCGTTATATTGTAGCTCTGAGCAAACTGTTGGCGCCATAAATCCTGTATAATAATAATACCAGCACTGCAGTATGACTTGGTGACGTGGTGAGTCCCATAAGTGCAGTACAAGCTGGTGCAGTGGCGAGCACAAGTATTGTCCCGCAACCACAAAGAATTCGCACACAGGCCTGTAGAGCCCCTAGTATCCTTCCGGATGTACTTGCAAATCCCGATTGACAGCCCACAAATTCTGCAGCACCTGTACTTCCCCCATTCACTGCCCAATCTGGAATTTAGGTGGAAATAGCAAATTTAACTCTCCCCTTGATTTTTTAGCTGTTTTTCACGGAATATCTGTATGCATTGATTGTGGATCAAAGCAATTTATATGCACTACAATTTATCGCCGCCAACCCAAATTCAAACCTTGCCAGACCATTCTCATGGAAACTCATTACGGTTTTCGAATTTACTTTTTTTTTTTTTGGGCCTAACCCTCAACATGGGCATTACTAAAAAAAATTAATTGCGGTTGTATTGGTCCACAGACCCAATTCTTCATATCCCGTGTTCTCTGCTGCCATGGCCAAGCATAGATATGAGAGTATAATATGTTTTATGCATTTCACCGACAATACACTCTGTCATCCTCAGGGTGACCCTGAATTTGACCGGCTCCACAAAATTCAGCCCCCTCACAAATCACCTTAACCAAAAATTTGCAGATGTTTATACTCCCCAGCAAAACATCTGCGTTGATGAATCCCTGATTAATTTTTCTGGCCGCCTTGCATTCAAAACAATTTCTCCCCCAGCAAGCATGCCAGATATGGGGTCAAAATGTAGAAGACCTGTGAGAGGACAACAGGCTATACTTATAATTTTTTCGGATTTACGAGGGAAAAGAAAGTCACGTGGAGCCCCCTGGATGACCAGACTACATGGGGAGTAGTGGCAAGATAGTTTTGGACTTGGTGTCATCCCTTTTCCATATGGGGTACCACTTATACGTGGACAATTTTTATTCAAGCGTGCCACTATTTAAACATTTGTTCAATCTTGGAACTGGCGTATGTGTCAAAGTGTGACCTAATGTGTGCCCACCATTAGAAGTGGGTGGATGCAGGGCGGTATATTCTAATGGTGGGCATACCACACACTTTTTCTGGCAGAGATTTCTTCTCTTTTTTTCATTCAGTCCACAGGCTGCATACAAAAAAAAAAAAAAGAACATAGCATATATAACCAAGGATCAGCGATGTACTGGTACATCACTGGACTTTGAATAGTTATACCAGGATGATGCCTACAGCTGCAGGCATCATCCTGGTATCATTTTTTTCAGCCGGCAATCAGCTTTCATGTAAAAGCAATCCTAGTGGCTAATCAACTGCAAGATTGGTTTTACAAGCAACGGGAGATGATGCCCCCCCCCTCCCCCGCTGCCTTCCACGGCCTTCTCGGGCAGTCCTGTGCCATCGGGGGAACCTGAGAATGTAGCCGGTGTTTCTGCCAGCTAACCATAGAGCTGATTGGAGACCAGAGTGGTGCCAATCATCTCTATAGTCTAGGAATCTAAGAAGCTACGAGCATTTTATCACTTCAGTTTCGCAGGATATAAACAGCGCCATTTGTAAATTAGGAAAGCATCTGATCACACCGATTTTGGTTTGATTAGATAATGTAAGGGCAGATGAGATATCTAGAGTCTGATAGACCCCAGATTTCTCAAAAAAGAATATATGTCAATGCCCATTGAAGTTGCAGGGGATATTTGCATTCCATGTGATAGCATTAAAAGTGATCAAATAAAAAAAAATTAAAGGGACAGTGTAAAAATCAAAAAAAAAAATCAAAATAACTTAAAATAAATAAGTAAAAAACTCGCCCCTCCCATGCACGCACACCTTTGTGCACAAGCCTTGACCCTGTGTCGGTATGTAAACAGCGGTTGCACCATGCATGTGAGGTATCGCCGTGAACGTCAGATCAAGGGCAGTAATTCTAACACTAGACCTCCTCTCTAAATCTAAAATGGTAGCTTTTAAAGCATTGCCTATGGATATTAAAAATGTATGCAGTTTGTCGCCATTGCACGGGGCATGCGTAGTTTTAAAGCATGTCATGTTTGGTATCTATTTACTCGACATACCATCATCTTTTATATCTTCCCAAATAATTGGCCAATATATTGTGTTTTTGTGCATTAAAAGTAAAAAAAGGTATTTTTTTTAAAAAAAATTTGCATTTGAAAAATCGTTGCGCGATTACTATGTGCCATAAAAAAATTGTAGTATCCACCATTTTATTCACTAGGGTGTCTGCTTTAAAAAAATATATAATGTTTTGGGGTTCAAATTAATTTCCTAGCAAAAAATACTGATTTTTTTCATGTGAACAAAAAGTGTCAGAAAAGGCTTGATCTTCAGGTGGTTAGAAGAGTGAATGATGTGTGGCATAAATTTCTAATGCTGGACATAAAATGACCTCTTTTGGAAAGTAGACACCCCAAACTATTTGCTAAGAGGCATGTTGAATCAATAGAAGAATTAATTTTTTTACCACAAGTTTATGGAAAATGACAAAAAAATATTTTTATTTTTTTTTTTACACAAAATTGTCACTTAAATGATTTACTGCTCACACATGCCATGGGTATATGTGGAATTACTCCCCAAAATACGTTCTGCTACTTTTCCCAGTATGGGGGTCCCACATGTGAGACGTTTAGGCAGTCTAGCCAAGTACAGGACCCCAAAATCCAATAGGCATCTTCAGGCTTTTAAAGGGCTTTATTACCTCATTACACTTCCAGAATACCTATCACAGTTTCAGAGGCCCTGAAATGTCAGGGTAGCACCTAACCCCCCCAAATGACCCCTTTTTGGAAAGTAGACACCCCAAGAAATTTGATAAGAAGCCTGATAAGTATTTTGCAGATCTCATTTGTTACCACAAGATTTGGGAAAATGAAGAAAAAAAAACCCAAAAACATTTTTTTTTATCTTTTTATATTTCAAAACCTTGTGAGAATAAATGAGATCTGCAAAATACTCACCATGCCTCTTTTTAAATTCCTTGGGGTGTCTACTTTCCAGAAAGGAGTCATTTGGGGTGGTTTAGTGCTATCCTGGCATTTTCAGGCTCCTGTATGTGGCTAGGCTCCCAAAAAGTCTCACATGTGGTATCCCCATACTCGGTAGAAGTGGCAGAATGTATTTTGGGGTGTAATTCCACATATACCCATGGCTTGTGCGAGAAATAAATAATTTAAATGACAACTTTGTGTAAAAAAAAGTTTTTGACATTTTCCAGAAGCTTGTGGAAAAAAACAAATCTTCCATGGACTCAATATGCCTCTCAACAGATAGCTTAGGGTGTCTACTTTTCGAAAAGGGGTCATTTGAGGGTGTTTGTACTATCCTGGTATTTTAGCACCTCAAGAAATGTGATGAGCAGTCAGAAAGTAAAACCTGTGTAAATTCCATTATCTATACCAGTGATGGCGAACCCGTGGCACGCCGAGCCTTATCTGTGGGCACGCCAGGAGAATAGCGTATTTTTCGCTCCATAAGACGCACTTTTTTTCCCCCAAAAAAGGGGGGGAAATGTCAGTGCGTCTTATGGAGCGAATATAGAGCGGCCGGTCCGGTATTTCCACCGCCGCCGTGTCAGAATACCGGGCCGGCCGCTCAGCTCTGCAGTGGGACCGTAGCTGTCCCTCTATCCAGCGGCGCGCTGTCTTCCCGGCTTCTGTAGTGTGCATGACAGCCGGGTCCCAAGTGCGCATGCGCAAGAAGCAGTGCTCTTTGTGAATGGTAAGGCGGTACCTGGGACACATGACAGATCCCAGAAGCCGCCGGACCAATCACAAAGCGCAGCGCTTCTCGCGCATGCGCACTGGGCATCCGGCTGTCCGACGAGCGGGAAGCCGGGAAGCCGGGAAGACAGCGCGCGGCTGGATAAAGGAACAGGTAAGATAAAAAAAAAAACTCTGCGGAAGTAAGAGCGGGTACCTGTCAAATTCAGGTACCTGCTCCCCCTCCCTCCCCAAAGATCAGCAGTCATCTGTACTGTCCGCAGTCTCTGGTCATCCCTGTACTGTCTGCAGTCTCTGGTCATCCCTGTGCTGTCCGCAGTCTCTGGTCATCCCTGTGCTGTCCGCAGTCTCTGGTCATCCCTGTGCTTTCCGCAGTCTCTGGTCATCTCCTGTACTGTCCGCAGTCTCTGGTCATCCCTGTACTGTCCGCAGTCTCTGGTCATCCCTGTACTGTGTCCGCAGTCTCTGGTCATCCCTGTACTGTCCGCAGTCTCTGGTCATCCCTGTACTGTCCGCAATCTCTGGTCATCCCTGTACTGTCCGCAGTCTCTGGTCATCCCTGTACTGTGTCCGCAGTCTCTGGTCATCCCTGTACTGTGTCTGCAGTCTCTGGTCATCCCTGTACTGTGTCTGCAGTCTCTGGTCATCCCTGTACTGTCCGCAGTCTCTGGTCATCCCTGTACTGTGTCCGCAGTCTCTGGTCATCCCTGTACTGTGTCTGCAGTCTCTGGTCATCCCTGTACTGTGTCTGCAGTCTCTGGTCATCCCTGTACTGTCCGCAGTCTCTGGTCATCCCTGTACTGTGTCCGCAGTCTCTGGTCATCCCTGTACTGTGTCTGCAGTCTCTGGTCATCCCTGTACTGTGTCTGCAGTCTTTGGTCATCCCTGTACTGTGTCCGCAGTCTCTGGTCATCCCTGTACTGTCCGCAGTCTCTGGTCATCCCTGTACTGTTAATTAGTTTGCACTACTGTACGAGTTGTTTTTTCTAAACCAAAAGCTCGATATTCAGGTTTCATTGCAGTGTTGGCACTTTGAAAGAAATAAGTTGGTTTTGGGTTGCAGTTTGGGCACTCGGGCTCAAAAAGGTTCGCCATCACTGATCTATACCATAGTTTGTAGACGCTATAACTTTCCAAACAAAGAAATAAATATACACTTACTGGGATTTTTTTTTAACCAAAAACATGTAGCAGAATATATTTTGGCCTAAATTTATGACAAAATTTTTGTTTTTTTGAATATTTTTTTATGACCGAAATGAGAAAATATTGTTTTTTTCATAAAAATTTTTTATTCAAAATTTTTCTGTTTATAGCGCCAAAAATAAAAAGCACACAGGTGTTCAAATACCACCAAAAGAAAGCTCTACTTGTGTGAAAAAAAAGAACATAAGTTTCATTTATGTATTGAATGACTGCGCAACTGTCAGTTAAACTAGCGCAGCACTGTATAGCAAAAAAATGGCGTAAATTGCAGTATCTATACCATAGTTTGTAGACGCTATAACTTTCACAGAAAGCAATCAATATACACTTATTGGGATTTTTTTTTACCAAAAACATGTAGCAGATTACATTTTGGCCTAAATTTATAACTAACTTTGAGTTTACTATATAGTTTTTTATAGCTGAAAGAAAAAAATCGTTTTTCTTCAAAATTTTTGGTCTTTCTTTTTTGTTTATAGCGCGAAAAATAAAAAGCGCACAGGTGATCAAATAGCACCAAAAGAAAGCTCTATTTGTGTGAAAAAAAGGACGTAAATTTCATTTGGGTGCAGCATTGCATGACCGCGCGCAATTATCAGTTGAATTAGTGCAGCGCTAAGTAGCAAAAAGAGGCCTGGTCAGGAAGGGGGTAAATCCTCAGGAGGGCAAGTGGTGAATAGAGCATTTTGTCTAGGGGATAACGAATAAGGTGGAATACTTAAGCTGGTCATACAGTGATCAAAATTTTGGCCAGTGGCCTTCGATGGAAGTTATTTGTTTACCCCTTCCTACTGACCACCTCTTGGACCTTTAGGAGTTATAAGCTGAGAGGCAGAGGCAGGCATTCAGGTTATGTAACTGCTGTAATTGCCTGTCAAAGCGATCACATAATCGAAAAACTCCCAAACGCAAGTATGCATCAAGAGCTTACCAATTCCCACCCCCACACTTTCAGCATGGTAAGTTGTTCACAGAGGGGTGGCCTCTCGGTGTTAAGGCCCACCTGCCGAGCAGTCACATATATGCATACGGCCGGCGTGAAGAGGTTAATCAACATCTGTTGAAGGAACATGTTGGAAAAGAGAGCTGCAGCCACCGCTGTCTTAATACAATGTTCTGGTGGGAGGGAGTCATTTACCTTGTTTGTGTGAATGGAGGAATCTGTACTTTTTTAGTTTAGCCCGCTGGCTGAATAAAAAAAACAAACTGGCAGTGTATGGCCAGCTTTACTCTGTTTCGCACTTTCCGGGCAGCCAATGCTCTCTGATGCTCATGTTATTTGGGCTGGACATTGAGGCCCTAGGTATAAGGAAGGACCTCTAGTAAGGGATGACATTGGATAGCTGTGTCTGGTGGAGTGATGACGAGAAGCCACTTCAATAGATCAATTGTAGGGTGGGAAGTGAAGAATAAAGTATTTTACCTTCTTCATTACCCTCTAGACCAGCGGTCACTAAATGGCGGCCTGAGAACGCCCTGAGCAGGAAGTCTGATGGTGGCACCCAATGTAATAAATTACTGTGGTGGGGTAACCTGATGTAAGGGGGGAACAATAATGGGGACATTTATTTTTGGACCTTGGCCAAAAGAAGATTTTAGTGACCGGACCTCAATAATTCAATACCCTTGCTCTAGACAAAATGAGCTATAAAAGCTAAATGACTATAAATACTTTAAGATAAATATTTCAGGATTTGAAGACAGCTCTTCATATGTGATACATTGAATTCATCTAGATATGATGTTGTATAGCTATAAAAATACAGAGTTAGTCAAATATTAATCACATTGCAACAGACATGGCTGTGTCATGGGTCCTCCTTATTCCTTCTATTCTGTGTCAACAAAGGGTGGAGTGTACGTGGCAAATATAACCTCATTATTTCCCAGTGACATCAGTATGGCAAAAGGATCTGAGTAGATCCTGCTCTGAATTAACGATTTCACTTCCATTACCTGTATGCTTTCATGCATGGATAAGCGTGTGCCTATCAAAGCAGGCTTTGTAAATAATTTAGCACAGTTAAAGCAAGGTGAAAAAAAAATTAAAGGAGAACTTCAGTCTAATTGCAAAGGACATGCCATGAGAGCGATATATGTAAATTGCAAACCCTCCATCTGAAAATGCTGATTGTCATGCTAAAGCTAATGCTTTACTTTTAGTACCCTGATTTCCTAATCTGGAAAATTTTAGATAAGGGATTTTGATTTTCATTTACTGAATTTTTGATTTTGTTTGGTGATTCTTTAGTATTAAAGCCAGGTACTTAGCATAACCAGCCTCCATCATAACTAGGGTATTGAAACCACTAAGGCTGGCTTTACACGTCTGCATTGCAGCAATATGTGTTTTGGTGTGGTGCTTAGAAAAAATGGTGTATGTCCAGTTTTGTGTGCATTGTGTGATCAAAATTAATGGTCCGTCTTCATGCAATGCATGTTAACTCCTTCATGACCAATTGAAAAAACAAACTTTAAAGGATAAGTTAACTTTAAAAAAAAATAAACAAATGCCTATTTTTTGCAGGTAAAAAAGAAAATGTGCATTTATTATTTTTTTAATTTGAGCCAGGAAAGCAATGCTCTGGCGATCAGCTTAACATCGCCATTGTTGTTCATTCAGAACTACAAGCCAACAGTCGCAAAGGCTGTTGGGAATTGTAGTTTTATTTGTTCACAAAACTATACCTGAATTACACAGCCGGGCTGTTTTATAAGGACAGGTAGTACAAGGAACTTCTCCCCATACTGCTGTCACAGGGACAGGGAGGGGTAAATCGGGCAGCGGTAAAAAAAAACATGTAACATGTTCCCAAAGGTGAACTTATCCATTAAAGTCCAGATCCAATTTTGCAACTTTGACATGTGTTCGTATACCTGTACCTATGATTGCTACTACTTAGTGTATCTAGGTAGATTATACTTTGTTTTTTTTTCAGGACAGACTGGGCTTTCATTTGGTGGGAAATGTTAATTAATAGATTTCTCCTGATTTTTATTATGAAAGGAAAACTGGCCTAAAATAGTAAAAAATAATTTTTAAACTTTTTTAAACTTTAGCTTCATGTTTTTATTCCATTAACATGACCCACCACCAAAAAATCTGCAAAATACATTCTCCAACTACTGATGATCAGGGCAAAAGCACATATACAGGGGTTAGACAAAAAATGGAAACACTACATGATTTGCAGGTGTGAAAGTGATGACATGTTTCGCGTTGAAAGAGGAAGTGATGTAAAATTAGTCTGCTTCCGCTGTGTAATGAGACACCTAGCTAATAGGAGGGAAGCCTCACTTTCATCACTCACTGCGTGCGCTGCTAGTAGTACGAAGTCATGTCAGAGCTTACTGAGCCTCAAAGAGGGCAAATTGTTGGTGCTTGCTTAGCTGGTGCCTCTTGGACTGCAGTTACCAATTTATTTGCCATGTTGCAGGGTACAGTACCAAAGGTAATGACGGCTTATACAGTTTCTGGGACAACGTCATCTGAGCATAAGTGAGGTCAGGATTGTGACCCGGCATAAGAAAACACTTCTGCAAAAGTGACTGCAGAGCTCAGTCTCAGTCTTCATGGGATTGAAACTGACACTAACTGATATTTACACTGCCACTAACTGACATTAACTGTACAATTTCACTAACTAATATTTACACTGACACTGCCACTAACGTTGACCCCTACTGTCAAACGTCTGTGGTAGTGAGCCCTTTTAAATCTCCAATCCAGGGGTATCCCCAGGGCATGGAGTTTAAGCACAGCCTGCTTCTTCGCCAGAGCCCCTGATGGTGGGGATGGACTTGCAGCAAGCTGGAACCAGGTCTTGGCCCGCAGGTACGCCCAGCTGAGGATGCACAGACCATTCGCATGTGCAAAGTGCAACCATCATGAGACAAAAGGAAACCTGGGAGACTAGCCGAGGTCAGGACGGGTAGCAAAAAAGAACAGACTGTAAACGAAGCCAGGGGCAGGACATAGGTAGTCAGGCACAGTATACACAAGCAACTATGACCTCCAACTCAGAGAACTGTTCCGTTGCTCAGGCAATGTGGGCTAGACTGAGCATGTCCTATGTAGGCACGAAAACTAGGAAGCGGGCTAGGAAGTGATGGAAGGGAAGGAAATAAAACCCACATGTGAGCACAGCCAAACCACACATGTGAAAGTAATCAGGGCAGGAAAAGCACTGCAGCAAGGCAAGGATAAACTGCAGGCTATCTTGTGACACCTACACTGTCACCTTCACTCGCTAAAGCACTGAATTAGTTAACTTCTTGGCGCTGAGCGTATGCAAAATGTGCGGCCTCCTAGTGGTGGGGCCTTGGCACCGGGTGGGCCGCATATTTGTGTACCCAATGTAAACAAAAGATGTGCCGAGAGAGCGCACCCTGTGTGCTCCCGGCACATTGACTGACACCTCACGGAAAGGTCCTGATCGCTACTTGCAGTTGAGAGCTTCCCAATGATGTGACTGCTGTGACAGCCAATCACGGTAGTCACATGATCTTAAACCTTCCCCACCTCCTGGCATCACAAACCCCTGAAAGGGCCCCTTAAAGTCAGTAGATTTTTTCTTGTACAGATCTCTCCTCCAGCTACATTGTATCTTTTCCTCCTCACCAGCAGAGAATTTGTTGTTTCTCTTCACAGAGGAGAGACAAAACAG